CTGCAGTATTTTGAGAGAAAAGACTTTCTGTTGAGCTCAGCACCAGTTTGCTTCCACCTAGGCTGGAAAGCAAGCATGCTCTGTCTTGCTTCCTCAGCTTCAGCCTGTCTGAGCCCTGACAGACTTCTGAGGTGCCACTTTAGGGTGCAGAATAATTATCCCCGCCACTAGGGACTTAACCCAACTTACTTGAGGTTCCAGCAGAAACACAGGCCTGCAAGCAGGAGAACCAAGTCAGGGAGGCTGGCACAACTGCCCAGGGGTCTGCTCTGTTCTGTTGATTTAATTAAGGCCAGTTTTCCTGTCTGGCGTTGCCTCCTGAGAGCTCAGGCTGGCTACATTTGTTTCATGGCTGTACCGTGAATAAGGAAGGCCCTAATTCGGTGGAAAAGGAGTTGGAGTCGAATAATAGGTCTTGTTTTGACAAGAATTAAATTTAAAAGGTGGCAGGGAGTGGGTGTGAACGGGGTCTGGGTCGGGTTCTGTGCAGGCTTTCCCTGGTGCCTTTTAATCCATATGAATTAAAAACCACAGGGTCTGTACAAGAAGCACGTGATGGTAAATGTACTTCAGAAATCCCTGTGCCTAGGGGCAAGCATATTTGCAAGGTCCTTTCTGCTAGGGAACTGCTGCTGCAGGGCAAAAATACTTCAATTATTTTTTATACTTAAGTTGCTGTCTATAACGGTTCTCCATGGCTCCTCGCTCTTCTCTGCAGGATTTCTGAGGCATTTTATAGTGAGTTTAGTATCCATTTTGTCCTGACACCCAGAACTGACGTCCTGTAAATTCAGGGTTAAACTGATCCTTCCTCTTGAACCAGAACACCTTGCTGTGCTGATATCAGCTAATGTCAACACTAGAGCCCATAGCATGGGAGCTGGAAATGCTCTTGGAAAGCTTAGAGCTTGGTGAGAGCCCCAAACACTTTCATCACCAGCCACCCCAACACTGCTAACTGCTGAAAGCTGTGACTTTATTTTTAATTTTTGCTAAGGAACATCTTTCTCGAATAGCTCTTAACACACACACCAGCCTCCCCCTGCCCTGGGTCGGAGTCAGCCCTGGAATTACCTGTGCAGGCTTAATTATAATTAACATAGCCCTGCTGGGTCTGCATATCTACAAATTGGCTTCTGCAGCACTTGGCTGAAAGTGAGGTTCCTGTTGCTGATCTCATGCTCACAAAACATCAGGGAGCTACATTTTCTTTGGACCCTGCTGTGGGTTCAGATTTGTACATGCAAACAGCTGCTCCTGACTCCAGAGAGAGCTGCCTTTGCATATTCTTTAGTGCAGCATTTAGCCTAGAGGCATGGGGTGTTGAGGTAGATTTATTTAAAGCCCTGCAAAGCACCCCGGGGTCGATTAGTGTGCCTTGGATAGAAGGGGGTCCTGCGATCTAGGTACTGGGGTAGGGCAGGCTGGCTGAGAGATCAAAATTTAAAAAAAAAAAAAAAAAAAAAAAGTAGTTGAGCTAACCCATCACAGGCTGATGGGTTGAACAGGATGAATGCCAGAAAAGACCTGTTGGGACAGATTAGGGAAGGTCATCATAACAGATGGACTGTCCTGCTGTGCTGTGCCAGCACCTTGCTCCTGGCACCTCCGTGCTGTCTGACGCACCTTCTTTGTCCCCTTCTTTGCTCTGTCTCCCACCATCTGTCTATGTGCTGTTCCAGCTCTCTTGCTGGCCTCCCTGCTGGCACTTCACTTGCTGGGCGAGAGGAATAAAGCTGTGCTGTGGTTTGTATGGTGACAACACGCTGTGTGAGCTGTCGGGTGGCTTGGCACTGCCCTCTCCCAGCCCAGGGTAGGACTGCTGTGAAGATGCCACTGTCATGCGAGCACCCCCCTTCCTCAGGATGCTGATCTGGGCAGCCTGGTCTCTCTTCAGTTCTGATGGGCCATTTCCCCTGGACGCGTGGAGACAGACATTGGTGCACTTTGCAGTCATGTTCAGAGATGTGCCAGTCCTGCTTAGTTTCCTCTGGGTTATTACTTCTGCTGCTCCTGTCTTATTGGTCCATCTGTATCTCTGGGGCAGTTAGCAGCAATTATTCTTCACGCTCTAGCAAAGCAGCCAGTAATTTAGTCTCAGTGCCTGCAAGATGCCACCTTTCTACAGATGGGGAAACTGAATCATGGAAGGGATGGGGTTACATGGGAGAGTCAGTGTGCCTTAGTACATAGAGCACCAGACAGAGTCAGGAGACTGAGCTGCTGTGTGACCCAGGACAAGACACTTCACCTCTTTGTGCCTCTGCTTCCCCTGCTGCACTTGGTCCCTCATGCCTGTAGACTAAGTTTTTAAGGGGTAGGGCTGGCTTTCCCTGAGCGTTTGTGTAGTGCCCAGAGTCATGGGCCAAGGGTTACCATACCTCTGGGTTTTCCCAGACGTGTCCTCTTTTTGGGTCCTACCACTTTCTTCTGGGCAGTTTTTTTGTTTTGTTTTAATATGAACAAATGTCCAGGATTTTGCTCTGCTCAGAACTGGAGTTTATCCTGGCACTTCCTGGCTTGCCCTAGCAAGGAGCTGCTTGGGGATGGGGGAGGGCACTTGGAGTCAGGGGCATCATGTGGGTCTGCATATGCATGTGCACGTAGCTGGCATGCAGCCCTGGTAGCTGCATGCAGGCAAGTCTTTGAGGGGCAGGGGTGTGCCAGTACTGAGGCTGCAGCAGCAGGGCAGGGGAGGGGCCTGCCCCTCCAGTGAGGGAAAGGGGTGGAGGGCTCTTCGGGGGCAGCAGGGAGCTGCATGGCCAGGCTTGCATTGCTCTCAGGGGCGGGACACCCAGGAGATGCTGCTGGGCTGGGGGCTGGAGACTTGATGCTGTGCCTGTTGCTTCAAGCTACCATAAAGGCAGTTGTGGAAGGTAAAATCCTAAGCAGTCTCCATTGTTGCTCATCTAGTGCATAATCCCAAAGATGAACCTGGGGCTGAGCCTTGCATAGCTGCCCTGGAAACAGGCCAGTCTGCCTGCCTAGCTTCACCAGGATGGACCTTTGCCCAGGATCCAATGAGAACCAGTTTGCTGAGGCTGCTGCACATGCCTCCAGGTTTGTGCAGAGCCTCTGTAGCAGGGAGTCCAGTGCCAGCCCCCCCCCACGGTGCCGTGTGGGAGGTGAGCAGAGGCAGAGTTGACCAGGCAGATGCAAGCAACTCTGTATGCAGCAGGTCACATCTTTTGCAGCTCGGTCTCTGCATGTGTATGTGCAGACTGACTTGTCAGGGGAGCCCAGGGAGCTGGTAGTGGGAAGTGAGAGGTAGTTCTTAAGTCAGGTGTGGTGAAAGGAGCTGGGAGTGGAGGAGAGAGGGAGGTTGAAGCAAGTCTTGGCAGGAGTGTGTGGAGAACCATCTCTCTGATCCTGTAAAGTAGTTGGGTTCATTTTTTGTCTTGTGAGCAGCATCCTTACTTGACACAAGTGGGTAGAACAAGCCCCAGTAAGACGGAGGACTTGCCTGTGGCACTGACTCTGCCTGGGGCCAGAGCTAGGATCAAAAAGTGTCCTTAGCCTGTACTGTGTGTGGTCTGCCCTGTGCTCCCCTGAATCGGATGGTATGCTCCACTGGTGCCATAGTGTAATGGCACTAAGAACTTTTCTGCCAGCAGAACCCCCTGATGATTATGGGACAGGGGCACCTGGAAGCCCCATGATGGTTGGAGACGCATGGTGCAAGGTGCTCTATGTATGCTCAATGGAAGATGAACCTTGTCCTGAAAAGGTCATGGCACGAAGAGACAATGGGCATGTCCACACATGCAAGCACAAGTGCTTGCACCAGTTCAAATAGAAGTGGTGCAAATTTGAGCTGGGGCTTTTTGCCTCAGTGCATGTGCTCGGACATGCACTTTGGTGTAGAGCAAATTGTGCCACTTAGGGCAAAATAACCCTGCCTGGCTCCTCCCGGGTTTGCAGCCACGGGGAGCTAGAGCCCGGGACCAGCACCTGTGCTGTCCCCAGCAGTATAAAAAGCTGCCCTATCCTGGCCCCATCCATACAAAAAGCTGGCAGGCAGCTCAGGGCTACTCTCTCTGGAGCTTTTGGGGCCCAGCCAATTGATACCTGGGGACGCTACCCCTTGTGCCAGCTGGACTGCTGCAGCAGCATCCCAAATCCATTTTTTTAAAATACCCCAAAATCCATGTTCTTCCACAGTTAAAACAAAAAACCACTCCACCCACACACACACACACACCCACACATACCCCCTAGAGAGAGAGACAGTGATAAGTTGGGTAATGCTTTATTGGTATATTTACAACGTTAAAGCAATTTGGAAGCCTACCAGTGTCTCTATCATGGAAAAAATGAATTCTGAATACCTATATGTGTTGATCTGTGCTTTTGGTTTTCTTCATACATGATGGGTGTGTGATGGGGGGGATGTGGTGTTTGTAGAAAGGGGTGATAAGGGGTGTGGGGGAAAGCGGAGCGCTCGTCTGGACGCGCCCAATGTGTAGGGGGAGCAGAGAACATTTTTTTCAACATAGTAAGCAGACACCACTCTGAGCCAGGCGTTGAGCTCCTCCAGCCGCTGGGTCTCAGCTAATCTCGAGAGCTGCTCCTTGTTTAGACACCAGGATAAAAGCAGGTTTGCCGAAGAGCTTGTAAGTTATGGAGGAGGTTCTGAAAACCCGTCCCTGACGCGCCCAATGTGTAGGGGGAGCAGAGAACATTTTTTTCAACATAGTAAGCAGACACCACTCTGAGCCAGGCGTTGAGCTCCTCCAGCCGCTGGGTCTCAGCTAATCTCGAGAGCTGCTCCTTGTTTAGACACCAGGATAAAAGCAGGTTTGCCGAAGAGCTTGTAAGTTATGGAGGAGGTTCTGAAAACCCGTCCCTTGCTTTGATGCTGGAGTGGGAGCAGAGTGGGCAGTCATATCCATCTCCAAGTACTGTGAGATGGGGCTGGGCAGTCGGAAAGCACGTAGATGGGTCATGCCAGGGAGATGCTCCGTGCTGGGATAATAGTTTAGTCCCCTGCTACAGCTCCCTCTCTTCTATCTGCAGGTGGCATTGCTGGTGGCATTGAAATCTGCATTACATTCCCCACCGAGTATGTGAAGACACAGCTCCAGCTTGATGAGAAGGCGCACCCGCCGCGGTATGCTGGCATCGGTGAGTCTGCAGATCTGGAGTTGCCTGGCCATGGGATGGGGGAGTCTGCCTGGATCGTGAGCCCGTGGAGCTACCGCAGTCAGTTGGGTGCTCCTCTTCCTCTGTAGCTCCACGCTGGCTTCATGGGGACTACAGTGCGTATCTACCTCTGAGCTGGAAGGGGCCCTTGTATTCCCCTGCCACCAAGAAACCCTTCCATTGTTGTGGTATGTCTAGAACAGATCCCTGCAGTCTCTCAAGCTTAAATGTCCACCAGTAACCAACCTTAGAGGCCTTGGTTAGATGAGATCTTCCCTCAGTGCACCGCACCACTTGTGCTATGCAAGGCACCTGGGAGCCAGTGTGTGCATTAGGCAAGGATTGGACAGTGCAGGCTGCATCAGAACAAAGGAGCTGGAGGAGTCCCAGGCGTGATGGCTTTTTTTCCAGGCCAGATGGAGCTGCAGGAGTCCCTGACTAGCAGGACCAAAACCTCCTGCTGGTGTCCAGGCTACTTGCCGCATGGTGTCAGTACTGGGCACTGCTGCTGGCTATCTGACCCTTCTCCCAGCTGAGATTTAGGCAACCAGCCAGGCAGTGGCTGGCAAAGCAGGCTGAGGTCAGGGCAGAGTATGTGGTTCCAAAGCCACTGGTTCTGTGTTTGGATTGGAGCCATGCTCCTGAGGACCTGCAGCGATGTGTCAGCCCCTGACTCGCTCCAAGTCCAGCTGAAAAGCAGCTCTGCAACCAAGTACTTCCACCTGCTGTTGCAGGTTCTCCTTTGTCCAGCATGTATCTGCAGTTGCAGGCAATGTCCTGCTGCAGGTGTGCCCCACCAGAGCCCATGTGCTGGGAGTCATGAGCAGTCAGCTATATGCCAGGGACCCTGCTGCATGTGACTTTAACCTCATTGGTAGAGGCCACCACTTCCATGCTCTGCCATGTGGGCCACATCCATTAATTGCAGGCCAGGTCAGTTCCTCAGCTCACTGGCTGTAGATATTAGCTGATGTGAGCATGTTCACTGGCACGTGTCTAATGTTCTCCGATGGAGCATTTGCAGCCAGCTTATCGCATTACCCTGGCTCTTCTTTCCTGCCCCTGTGCTGTGGATGTTCACTGGGGATGGTGAGGGCAGTGCCTGGCCTGGTGGGGGTGCTGCCATGTTGGCTTGATGAGGAGACTAAACCTTTTGGTCCATGCAATTTGCCCTAGCGGACTGTGTGAAGCAGACTGTGCGTGGCCATGGAGTGAAGGGGCTGTACCGAGGTCTCAGCTCACTGGTGTATGGCTCCATACCCAAGGCTGCTGTGAGGTAAGGAGCTCCAGGGATGGCTTCCTGGGGGCGGGGGGCAGGGATGGCTCTGGACAATGTCCAGCCAGTTAGGCTGGCTGCAGCAGTATGTATTTGCGGCCCAGTGGATCAACATCACCCATGTGTGTGAGCTGGGTGTCCCCAGCTGACTTGGACACCACTGTGGAGGTCCTTATGGTCTCCCTTACTCCCACGAGTCTCCCAGACCGAGTAGAGCAAACTCCCAAAGAGATCCCTTGTAATCCCCAGGAGAAAATTGTCCTCCCTGCCTTGTGGCACTTTAGGGCTATTGCCCTGGCCAGGGTTAGTGCTGCAGAAGGAAGAAATGCAAAGCCAGGTCTGTGCTGTCCTGGCACCAAAGGCCTACTGCCTTCCAGGCACCTCTCCTGGCTGGCTGTGGATGCACATCCCCTGAAGGAGCTGCAGATTAGGGTCTGTCCCTGGAGCCCTGAGCAACTCTGAGAGCAGAGGAGCATGCCTGCTTCTTAGGCCTGTGGAGCTCTCCATAATAACAATGTGTGGCGTTATTGTTGGGACAAATGGTGAGGGAACAGAGGGGTGACATGGGGCACATCACTAGGACGGCTCACTCTCTGTGAGTTGTTGTTCCTGTACAGTGCTTCAGTCCCCCAGGAGGCAGCAAGGTTGTCCCTATGTGCCCTTCACCTTTTGAGCCAGCCTGAGAACATCCAGAGCTGCGGCAGAGAGCTATGCCAGGGGTGCTGGCTCAAAGAGCAGTTTGAGTAACTTGTTCTTCACCACATCTCTCGGTGCCACCTCCATGAAGTGACTTTTTCTCCAGTGATGTAAAGCAGTGTGCTTGCAATTGGCCAGTTCTCCTGGTGTGGCAACATGAGGTGATGAATCGGGAGGGAAGGAGGCTGGATGAGATGCTGGGGCTGGCAAAACTGGCCCTGGCAGAGGCTGTTGCGTCTTTGTTTCTACATGTCGCTGATAGTTGTCAGTAGTCCCAGCCTGGTGCCAGCCCCGTAGCCCCATCGCCTTGGCTCGTTGGGAGACTTGCACCTGCCTTTCCCGGGGAACTGTTTAGAAACAGGTGCAGCTGGCAAAGGAGAAGGGCCTGAGGGTCTGCACATGATGGATGCAGGGGAGGCCAGGCATTGGCATGGCACTAGGGAGGGACCAGGCCTGGGAAGCCCTTCTTGTGGCCGCCTCCACCTCGGTACTGAGCAGGAATTGGGAGTGAATCCCATTTGAAGGGCTGCCCCACACCGGCTCCCAGCTGCCCCCAGTTCTGTGCCCAGCATCTAGCTCTCTGTAGGGTCCAGCAGGTTTTGCATCTGTGGCCTTTCTCCCCTGCCAGGTTCGGCATGTTCGAGTTCCTCAGCAACCAGATAAGAGACGAGCAGGGGAAGCTGGACAGCACGCGCAGCCTCTTCTGTGGCTTGGGAGCTGGGGTGGCAGAGGCAGTCATGGTGGTGTGTCCCATGGAGACCATTAAGGTACAGCAGAGACCTGCAGGCCTACATAGGGGCCTGCATGGAGGGGAGCCCTTTGCTGCCCCTGGGATGTTCTGGGAATGAGTCAGAGCAGGGGGAAGAGGCTGGGAAGACTCCCATGTTTGGAGAAAGCTTTTGCCTTGTGACTACCTCCTGCTGCATGACCTAGAGCTCAAGTGCATGCCTTGTGCGCTAGTAAACCACTTCCAAACACTGGGAGCAGTGCATTGGCCAAACTCAGCTTTTCTGCTGTGAGCTGTGGCCAGGAATGGAGTTGTGCTTTGCTGAAGATGAAATGACTACGGCCTTCTGATGAGCCCTAGTGGTGAGAAGTGGGATTTTCAAGAGAAGGCTTTCCCTGGAGGGACTTCCTTGTGGATGGAAGGTGCAGGCAACCCCTGCTTGGCGCTCTTAACTGGTTCTGGAAAAACCAAGTGCTAAGTGAAACAGCGTTAAGCGAAACCCATTTTCCCCATAGGATTTAATGTAAATAAAGATAATTGTTTTTTGCACTACCTGCTGGCCCTGGCCAGGCCAATCCGGCAAGGCACCACGCGGGCTGTGCCAGGGAAGGCATCAGCTCCTCCTGGCCTTGTTCCCCTGCTGTGATGGCCCCTGCCAGCCAGCACCTGCCAGCCCCCAGAGCACCTGTGCACTGGGCCCCAGCCACCTGCCCATGGGTCCTGAGTTGGGGTTCTGGCACGGGGTATGCAGTAGGGCCACCTACCTGCCTGCACCCCGCTTTGCCCAGTGGGGGTTCCCTCCAGGCCCACCACCACTGGGATGAGCTGCCACCACCAGATCGCTGCAGGCTCGGGATGGCGGCTGCGCCCCACAGGTGTGTGACCTGGAGCAAAATGGGGCATGGGCTGCAGCCCAGCGGTGGGGGAGCTCTGTGGGCTTGGCTTGCACTGGCCGAGGCCCTGCACTCCTGCCAGCCCTGGCCTTGGGCCCCATGCTCCTGCTGGCTCGGCCCCTGCGCTCATGCCCCCCACCCACCCCTTCTTGCTGCTGCTGCTGCTCCTTCCCGCCCACTGGCCACTCCAGCACCACATGCCAGAGCAGACCCTGCACTCCTGGGCCCCACTGGGCAGGGCTCTAAGCTCATGCTGCCCGGCCCCCCGCCCGCTCCAGCACCACATGCCGGAGCGGACCCCAGGCTTCCACCACCTGTCCCTGGGCTCCCGCCAGCTGCCACTCTCACCACTTCCCTCGCTGTCACTGCTTCTCCCACCCTCGTGCTGAGCGTTATAATGAAGCACTCAAGGCTGAGTGAAACTAGGTAGGTATTTTAAATGAGCACTATAACGAAACCGCGTTAAGCAAGGGTTGCCTGTATTCACTAGAACTCAGACTGGATTTGACTTTCTTGGCCTACCTCTCCTGTGCTGGGAGACTTGTTTTGGGGCTTGACCCCAGAACCTGACACTCAGCATACTAACATGAACAGCAATAATGCTAAAAGCATGGCCAAGTACCTCAGTCAGTGGCAAACTGCTCCACTCTCTGAAGCTATTTCTCTCTCAACTCTTTCCACATGTGTTGGGCCCAGTTTTCTTTCCCCATGTGTTGGGCCCAGTTTTCCTTCCTCGCTTTATGACCCCCAGATCCAACATCTCCCATGAAGCATGGGCTGGAAACAGGAATTTAACTGCAAAACATGTCCCTGTAAATAGTAACTGGGCACAAAGGCATCCTGTAGTGTGTGATGTTATGTCTGAAACCCAGGCTGGACAATTGGCCGGAGGAATCATGACCACCTCCTGCCTCTCCCTGAGAGGATGTTGAGAACACAACGTGCTGTCACTCAGATGATTTGGGGCCCTGGAGGCTGTTCTTGGCTCTGCCACTGACCTTGCTGAATGACTTAAGTGAATTGCATACAAAAAACTAGAAGTCGTGGTTCCAAAATGATACCTTTTATTAGACCAATATTTATTAGGTGAATCACTTCACCTCTCTGCCTCAACTCTCCCATGTGGGAAGCAATTGTTACTCATGTGTTATAAGAGCTCACAGGTGATCAGTAGGTTCATGTGTGATCTAGTGACATGAGTGAGTAATACCCACCCTCCTGTCCATCCCTGGACTTCCACATTCTCTTCAACAAGTTGCTACCTTTGTACGTTTTGGGTACTCCTCAACTGAAATCATTCTGGGGGTAAGGCAAATGATCTCTAGACTGGAGGGCTCTCTTTCTGACTGGCCTCCATTAGCACATGCACATGGGTAGATACAGAGTTTTAGCCCTGCACTGCTGAATTCCTGAGTAGAGTGCAGCTGCTGGGCATCTGAGTGGGGGTGCCCATGGGGGGGTCCGTCCACGTCCTGTAGTTCTGGGGTACCCATGGGGGGGTCTGTCCACATCCTGGTGGGGCTTCATGGCAGGCTCTAATGTTTTTTCCTTGCAGGTGAAGTTTATCCATGACCAATGCTCCCCCAAGCCCAAGTACCATGGTTTCTTCCATGGTGTGCGGGAGATAGTCCGTGAGCAAGGTGAGTGAGGTCTCTGGAGCAGGGTAGCTTCCATTGCAAGGAAGGGGAGACCAAATGACAGGTGGCTGTAGCTTTCTGTCAGCTCACCAAAGTCATGCAGACACTAGGCTTCACCCCTGCAGCCAATGTGAACTTGAACATCACATCTTTCACAAATCGGCTCTTTGCATCATCCTGTCCAAGCTAAATACATGTGTGAGCCAAGCAGGTGGGACCCTGGGGGAAGATGGTTGCTGTTTGTGCCTGGTGTGCATGTGGAGAGGGAAGGGCTATATTGTGGGCCTGAGGGCTGAGAGTCAGGGGGTTGTGGTGGTTTTGGATGAGCCGGTCTTGCTGCTGTGTCCTTCCCCTAATGTCTCCATCTCGCTGCAGGTCTGAAGGGCACCTACCAGGGGCTGACAGCCACTGTCCTCAAGCAGGGATCCAACCAGGCCATTCGCTTCTTTGTCATGACCTCTCTTAAGAACTGGTACAAAGGTATGGGGACTCTGCTCTTCCCAACACAGCTGCTGATTCCCAGCTTTTCTAGGCCAACCCCTGCCTCTGCATGGCTCTGGGAGCTTTAGCTACCATTGGCCAAGACCGTCTGAGATTTCCTGTATCAAAAGGAGTTTTTAGGCTTCTTCCAGCCTCCCCTGAGCTTCAATCCTTCCCTCAAACAAGAATGTCCCCCTCTCAGTCTCTGCAGCTTTGTTTCTACAGGACTGAGGAAGGGACAGTGCAGAGGTGGGTAGAAGAGGAGCCCAGGGGCTTCAAAATGTAAGCCAGCGGGGGCAATGGAACAGCGCCGCCCGTGCGCCGCCGCCCCCCACTCTAAATCCTGTGCTCTGCCTTCTCACATCTGCTTGCTGCACTGTTCGGCCTCCCTTCTCATACTTCCAGGGCCCTGGCTCCTTTGGACACTAGGATCTGCCCAGAACTGAGCCACCAGGAGTCGCTTTCTCACCCCTGCCCTCCAAGCCAGTCCCCCAGGGCCTCCTGCTCTCCAGGCCCTGAGTCAACTAGGATTTTGGGGGCTCTGTGAGCTTTCAAGTCTGTAAACGCCAGTCGGCCTCAAATGGCTGCACCAGCTCCTGCCTATTGCTGGTGTCTGCAGAAAGCTTGTCTCTGGTCCCTGCAGCCCTGTCATGTCCCCAGAGGCATCATGACTCCTGCTTGTTGGGGCCCAAACTCCTACTGCACTGGGTTGCCACCCAAGCCTTTCAGAGCCTGCACAGCCACTATGTGCAGAAGGATTTGGTGATGTACCTTCCCTTGCTTGGTTTCTAACCATCTTTTGTCCTGTGTTTCTCTTCAACCTTCTCTTGCTGTCCCCTCAACACTTGGTCCCTTCCTCTCCACAGGGGATGATCCAAATAAGGTCATAAACCCCTTTATCACTGGCGTGTTTGGGGCCACTGCCGGAGCTGCAAGTGTCTTTGGCAACACCCCGCTGGATGTGGTGAAAACCAGGATGCAGGTACAGTGTGTGGTCACATGACTCCTTGGCATTTACTGAGAGCCTGCTGTTGGCTTCGCTACCCACAGTGCTGTATACCTGTTCAGGGCCCCTTTACCAAGTGTGGAAATGGCAGGATGGGGAACTGCTATACAAAGGAAGAGCAGGGGCAAAGAGCATTCCCTATGACAGTCCTCCAACATTGGTGCCAGTGGGTGGTCATGTCCATACCAGTCAAACTGTTTTGGGTTTAGGGCCAGTGTAGTTTTGTCCCATAGCCCTGGCTGTAAGTGGCACTGCCCTCTGGGTACCTTTTGTGCTGCTCCCTGAAGGAGAGATTCACAGGAGATTTTTGGAAGGAATTCTGTGCCCATAGTTGGATTGATGACCCCAGGTGTCTCCATCCACTGCAGCACAGCAGCCTTGGACCCTGATTCTGAAGAAGATTTTGCAGGGCTCTGGTTTGGGCTACCCTGAATGGTGGTGGCCATGCCTTTGGCCCATTGCATATAATTTGTGTGGACGTAAGTTCTATGCCAGGGAAACCATAGGGTGGTGAACATGATCGGTGTAGGCCCCAGGTTCCCTTGCCTAGGAATGAGTTTTCTAACCCACCCCAGGGCTGTGATGTGAGTGTTTGACCCTTTTCTTTACTTCCTTTAGGGACTGGAAGCGCACAAGTACAAGAGCACCTGGGACTGTGCCTACAAGATCATGAAATATGAAGGGCCCCTGGCGTGAGTTCTGTGTCTTGTCTCCTTTTGGTGTGAGGGCAGCACAGGGGTGCTTGGGGCTCTGAAAGTGGGGGAAGAGGGTGGTGGTGTTGAGAACAGTCCCTCCACCACAATCCAGTGCCACTGGCAAAGCAGGTGAACAGAGGAACAAGTGTCAGCTTGGGGTTCCTGGTTAACAGGCATCTGCTTCTGGGATTTGGAGGCTGAGAAGCCTCTGGGCCTGTGTGTATGGGAGGCTTGTCCCTGGTTGTAAGGGGCAGTCTAGAAAAGACAAAAGGGTGAATAGAAAGGGCAGGGAATAGAGGCATGGTCTGGGTGTGAGCTGCTCAGCAGAGATGTAGAAGGCTGGAAGGACAGGGAAGGGAGTGGGGGAGCAAGTAAGGATTTTATTGGCTTTTGTGCAAGTGACACCAGCCTGTGGGTTAGGATGAAACTTGCTGGCTTGCACCAGCTGAGGAACTGGTCCAGAACCTCTGGAGAAGCTGAGCCAGCTGGGTAGAAGAGATCCTGCTTCACAGCTGTTGGTAGAAGCTCCTGGTCAGGGTCCTTGAAAATCTGTCGTTGCTGATTTGAAATTCCTGTTGGAGTTCCCTGGCCTGGAGGAAGCTCCTCCATAACACCTTGCTGCCAGCAGGGACCAGGACACATGCAGCTCACGACTTAAGGGGAAGGGTTTGAGCTGGAGAGCAGTGTGAGGTGCCATAGTCCTGGCCTCTCCTGCTCCACCAAAGGAAGCCCAGGTACTAACTCTCTCCAGTCTGTGCCAGGCTCCCTGCTCACCCCTTGCCTCTCCCTTGCTGACAGGTTTTACAAGGGTACCATCCCGCGCCTGGGTCGGGTCTGCCTGGATGTGGCCATTGTCTTTGTCATCTATGACGAAGTGGTCAAGCTCCTCAACAAGGTGTGGAAGACGGACTGAGCCCATGGCTCCGGGCAGTAGCACCGCCTCCACCTCTGCCAGGCCACAGCTGGAGAAGGATGACCAATCCCAGAGGAACCAGAGGGACACATTACCAGAGGCGGTGCTGGGGGCTCAAGTCTCCCATGTGTGTGCAGGCAGGGGAAGCCACCCCATGCCCCCCCTCCCCATCCCTTCCTTTAACAAACCCAATGACCTTTATTTATAGGAATGAACTGTGATAGGTTTAAATTATGGATCGTGCAATGCTATGATGGGGGGAGGGGGAAATCTTATATGCAGGCTTCACGGTGGCCAGCTGTGGCAGCTTGGAGGGGTACAAAGAGCTAGGAACTCGGTGCCCATGAGTGAGAAAGGCGCTACAGTTCTTCAGCTCAGAATTCAGTCAGTTTTCTTTTGCCTTTGGACCAAATTAGCCAGCAAGTAGCTTTCCACTGACAGGCACTGTTATGCCATGTCTATCCTAACAGGCGGCACTGCACTGAGGGAGGCTGGAAGGCTGGTTGCTCTCCCTGCCATGCTGTGAGGGCCCTGGCTGTAGGGGAGCTCCCAGCTACTCCAGTGCCAGCCTTGAGATGCAGGAATTGCTAGAGGGGATGGTTTGGATCTCAGTCAGTGATGGGGAACCCCAGCCTGCTCTAGCAGACCTCATCCTTGCCTCAAGTGCAGCATTTCCATTTGGAAGAGGCAACTTAATGCTGTGTGGCCTATATTGGCCATTTCGCATCTGGAAGCTGGGGGGGTGTCACAGGGCAGCCAGCATTGGTTCATCCCTCCCCTCTGAGCCAGATCCAGTATGACCCATGGCCTTAAATCTGTTCTGAGCATGCCCATCCTCCTGTCAGCTCTGCCAGGCCAGCAGCATCCCTTGGAGGAGAACGGGGAATCCATTCTGCACCGTCTCTCCTTGAAGTTGAGGGCAGACAGCATGCCCTGTCCTGTCCTCCTCTCTCACTGTTGGCATCTGGCAGAGCTGTTGCAGGCCTGGCACATCCCTGACTCCCCAGCCCAGACATGTAACATTCTGGTATGGACCAAAGGCACCCATGCCACTGGGGCTCGGTGAAGTTTTGGTTTTCATTGCTGAGGAAACATCCTCCGAGCAACCAGAACCTGCAGCACCTCTGCCAAAGCCCCTCTGTTTACAATTTGAAGGTGTGAGGAAGGGGCAAGGGCACGGGTGACACCCTCTTGCCTTACGCTTGGCCTCTGTACCACTCGCAAGGAGGCCCT